GAGGCAGAGGTAAAAGAGTTTTCTTTTTTTTTGTAATTTAGACAAATTGTGAAAATCTCTTTGACATATGCTTTTTTCTGTTTTCACTTCTACATTTGGCTTTCTCTTATGCCTAAAGAGTAGTGATGTTCATTTTGGTGTATATAAGATTTAGATCAAAAGGTGTTAAAGATTAAGAATTGGTAATTTGGGTAATTAGAAATAGGACCAGTGAGGTAGATATGTTCAAGTTAATTTAATTCTTTTTATTAATTAATTAGCATATTTATAACGGAAATTCTTTTGAATTGACAGTGATGTTAATATTCATATATGTACTCAAAACAATTGTATGTTGGTATTGTTTCATCACATGTTTACACATATTGTTAAGATTTTTAAATTTTCTTTACAATTTATTAGAGTTTTTTGGAAAACATTACAAATTTTTGAAAATCTTCTTGATTCATACATGAAACATTTTTTTTAATATATATATACGTTTTTAATAATATAATTTAGACGAATATTTGACTAATTTTTTATATGAAAGTAACCGTTGAATAATCCATTTACTAGATTTTCTATTTAATTTAAAATATGGCATTATTTTGACTAACAATACTTGAATTATGAGACAAGCGTGCTTTAAATGTGTCATGTTCTTATGTTTCAGTACACAATTTTTTATTTTTGTCATGAACACGCTTAATTTATTAATTACAAAATATAATCAACCAATAAGTAACAAAAGTGTCAATAGTTAAAAACAAAGTTTTAAATTTGTCTTTTCATTTTTCTCCCTATGGCAATGGACTAACGTGAATTTAAAAATCAAAAAAAATTAATATCAAATATATTATTCATTTCAATGCACGATTTTTTTATCGTTTCGAATATGTGTGGAATAATTGAGGAAATTTTAAAGATGATAATCACATGTTTGATTGAAATTTTAGTGTTGGCTAAATTTACAATTTTATTGCTTGAAACCTCTTTCTAATTTTACTTGCGACTTTTCTAATTCAGCAAAGCAATAGCAATAAAAATTAATGATTAGCACTTAAGAGAGATTTATTTGAAGTATCTTATTTAGTAAACAATATTAAGTTAAAAAAAAAAACTATTTACTATTTATTCATCATTGATGTTTGAAGCCTGCACAAGTGGAAGTGTAGGACCAAATGTTATTTATTTATTTTAACTTTTTCTGTCCAGTTACTTTTTAATGTTTTTTTAACCTATCCCTAAAACCTTTAAATCACTAAATTACATTGAGTAAAAGACAAGTGATGTTTATAGGGTTTGAAGTGTAAACGTATCAAATTTAAAAACAAAATTCAAGTAAAGTAAATAGATACTAGTATTAGTGTATTACACAACTTTATCTGATGACCATATCTATTAATACTCAACATTACATAGAATCGTTGCATTTATATGTTGATATTATAGTTAATCTAATTTCAATGATTTCCCATTCTAAAATTAAAATTAAAAGTATAATGTATATCTTTAATACAAGGAAAAAGGTCGATATCTAATTGTAAAGTTAAAATGAAAGAAAGTTTCAAAAAACAAAAAGTTAAAATGAAAGAAATAAAAAAAGACGTGCATGGGATTGGTGTGTATGATAAAAATTTCAGAGCAACCAATAATTAACTAACACGTACCCCAACCTAAAGTATAATGCTTTTAGTCTTTTAGCGAAACCGATACGCATTTTCATGAACGATGCAATTAGTAGCCTTCTTCAATTCATTCAGTGGTCTAATTTTTATTTTTCGAGGCTTGGAACAAAAAAAATCCT